CTCCCCTGGCTTCCCCATTTGGGCTCTCGAGCAGCCTTGCAGAGAGCAAGCCGTCCGGCTCCCTCTTCCCCACAGCCCTGCAGAAGGGCCCTGGGACCTCAGAGCTCAGTGGTTGGACTCCTCGTGCCATGCTTCTGTGTCTCCACTGGATTCCTGCCCAGAGCATCGCCTGTCACCCTGGCAACATGTCAGCAGTGCCCCCGTCCACCCGGCCCCTCCCCCGCAGCGGGCAGCTGCCAGACCCTCTGTGCAGACCCAGTGTGCTCTCTGCCAGGGCTGCCCTCCAATGCACCAAATCTCATTTTCTCCCTTTAAATTGTGTTCTGCTCAGTGTCTCCCCCTCCTATCCGCCCCCCCTCCCCCCGGGAGCCTGAATAGGGAACACTGGTTACTATGGCAATCGGCTGGCTTGTGGCAAGAACTCGGCTCAGCAAATTAATTGCTGGACTTTTGGAGGCTAATGGCCGAGCTCTGCCTCCCAGGGACAGGGTGTGGCCTACATCATGCCAGCTGGGCAGCTGGGCCCTGGAGAGAGCTCAGAGACTGGAGAGAGAGAGAGGGAGGGAGAGAGAGAGATGGAATCATGGCACCATGCTTTCTGGGACTGCCACCTGAGGTTGGCTGGGGAAGGCAAGGAGATGGGCTCCCCCAAACCCCAGCTTTTCTGCATACTTGGTCTGTGCTGGCACCTTCCCGGAAAGCATTTTGTGGAACCCTCACAGCACCCCGCTGATGTAGAGATCGCCCCCATTTTATGAGGATAAAACGGTCATTCATATGGCTAAGGAGGAAAGCCGGGACTCCATACCAGAATCTGCCTACCTCAGGGGGTATTTTGCCATGAACATTCCAGGTATTCCTGGGCAGAAGGCCATCGTGTCCTCTACAATCTCTTCCAGAGGAAAGAAGCATAGGGAACATTTCCTAGCTCACCCCCTGAAGCCAATATCACTGCAATCCCAAAACCAGGCAAAGACATTCCAAGAAAAGAAAAAGACAGACCAATATCTCTCATGAACATAGATGCAAAAGGCCCTAACAAAATATTAGCCGATTGAATACGAACATATATACAAGAAGAGGTATACACTCTAGCCAAGTGGGCTTTATCAGGTCTCTGAGGCTGGGTCAGCATTTGAAAATCAGTTAGTAGACTGATTTAGCCAAATTCTCTTCCCTCTGGTTATTATCAGCCTTCTTCCCTACTTTTGCCCTTTATGTCCTTCTCTTCTTTTTTTTTTTCAATTTTTTAAAAACGTTTGTTCATTTTTGAGAGACAGAACAGAGTGTGAGCAGGGGAGGGGCAGAGATAGAGGGAGACGCAGAATCCGAAGCAGGCTCCAGGCTCGGAGCTGTCAGCACAGAGCCTGATTCAGGGCTTGAACTCACTGACCACGAGATCATGACCTAAAGTCAGGTGCTCAACCGACTGAGCTGCCCAGACGCCCTGTCCTTCTTTTCTTTCCTGTAAGCTGGGTGATCAGAATTTGGTTTCATTGACTGTATCCTTTGCTTGTTTGCCCACGCTGTGTCTTCACTTAAGTAGTTAAGTGTTTCTCCAGCCAGGTTCTAACAGCCCGAGCTATTTGGAGCCTGGCCTCTGGTCAGATTGCCCTGGGACCGCATCCCGGCCCTGAGCGGTGGAGTCACAGGCAGGTGGCTAAGCCCTGGGTGCTGTTTCTCACACAGCACACTGAAGCTCCTGATACCTGCTGTTTGGATACTCTGGGCTCTTAACCTGTGAGGCCCTCACCTGGTGTGGTACTTGTTACGGTTCCAGCAGGAGAGGGCATGTTCGGTGTCCTTCTGGCCTGAGGCCAGTCCAGCTGTCATGACTGGCCGTGTGCATCTAGCGAAGTTGTCTGGGCCGCGGGCACCTGCCAGGTTCATCGCTGGGAGGTGGGGGAGCAGTGCGGCTTGCGAGTTTGCCGAGACCTCAGGGAGGGTGTTGGCAAAGGCATTGCACTTCCAGGGCACACAGTCGGCAGGCTCTCCCCAGCCCTTTCTCGAGAGGGAAACACCCAGACTGGGGATTCTCAGCCCAACCAGTGCTCACTGGGCCCCACATGGGGCAAAATAGCCGGCCTTTGAGACGGATGGTGGGGACACATGCCCCCCACCCCACCGGGGAGCTTACAGACAAGGGGTGATTGTCTCTGAGTGCCTTGAGTGGCCTTTCACACACACGTGTGCACACACGCACACACACACACACATACACACACCTGCTCTTTGGCAGTGGGGTGTGCCCAGGGTATGTCCCCTGTTCTCAGCCTCAGCTTGCTCTCCTGTAAAGGGGGATGTCGACACCCGCCCCTTGGGGTCATTGTAAGGATGGAGAGGCACCGTGTGGACAGCTCAGAGGCTCTCAAGCGGTGCCAGGCTCGGCCCAGCTGCAGGGACCCTGTTTGGCGGGTGGCCTCAAGGAGCAGGTCTGGGCTGGGTTGAAGCCCCAGCTCTGGCTCATGTCAGCCGTGTGGACTTGAGAGCGGTCGAGGCATCAGGCATCAGGCTAAGGGCTTTGCATGCAGTTGTATTATTCAGTTCCTACAACAGTCCCTTGCAACAACCCGCTGTGGGGTAGGGTGTGTTATTATCTGGGTTTCGTAGGTGGCCTTCGTTATGCTAAAGAAGTTTCCCTATTGTCTTAGAGTGTTGAGTGTGTTTATCGTGAAAGGCAGTTAGATGTTGTCAGGTGTTTCTGTATTGGTTGGGACACTGTGTGTCCTTTGCTCTCCTGGCGAATGCATCACATGGGTTGGCATGTGCGTGTTGAACCAGCCTTGCATTCCTGAGCTGAATCCCACGTGGTGGCGGTGTATAACCCTTTCAGTGTGCTACTGAGTTCAGTTTTCTAGTCTTCCATTAAGTACGTTTGCATCTTGTTCATAAGAGACATTGGCCTGTTGTTTTCTCTTTATTTGTGTGTGTATTTGGGAAGTTGTGTGACCAAGATTCCTCTAGAAACTTGGAGACTATGACTTGGAGGAAGAAGCCTGGTTTCCACACTGAGGGAAATTATCAAATTTCTTGAGTCCTGGAAAAACACTGGACACTATGGCTGTTACCAATTTATCTCCTCCGTCTACATTCTTACTTATTTCATTTTAAAAAATGATGGCTCAGTAATTGGTGGTGATATTTGGATTTTATGTATCCACAGAGGTCATGGAAAGAGAGTGGGCTCCGTGCCCAGAAGGTGCTGGGGTTCCAGTCCCGGTCCATCCTCTGGTGACCCGGGGACAGACTGGTATCTTCTCCATCTCAGTCCCCTCCTTTGGCACGTGGGGACAATGATTCCTGCCTTGAAGGGTCACAGGAGTTGGCTCAACAATCAGAAAGTACCTGGCACACGGCAGATAATCAATGGCAGCCATTCAGTCACTTTCATGGCTTTTTGAAATGTCCGTGTTCTTCAAATGAATGGCTCCTGGCCACCCGAGATGATGAGATGACGTGACCACATGGCTCACTACTGAATCTAATATTTATTTGTCAAATGTCCACTGTGTGCTGGGAACTGTTCTAGGTTCTGGGCAACAGGAAGAACAAGGACGAGTCCGTGCGTTCATATAGCTTTGAAGGATGAGAAGGCTGGGCCACCCGCGGGACTTGCCCTGACTCTGTGTCTCTTCTTCCCCTGAACCCTCAGGTCCTGACCCTTGGCCTCTGCCCCTTCATATACGATTTTGGGAAAGTGTCTTTCTTCTTGCTCCCGTGGCCACCTCCTGAGTATCGTACTTTTGGGGTATTGTCATTTGGGCTGTTGTATACCCTGTGTACTTGCGAGGGGGCCTTTAGTGCCCTGGCAAGACGAGGGCAGTTTGCCCTGAGGGTGGCAGGGACCAGCATGGGAATTCAGGAACCTGTCCTGAGAAGGGCCCACATACCTGTCCATGTGGCCAGGGACGTCTCCATGTGTCCTGCCTTCTCTCTCCTCTGGGACTTTGCACATGCTGTTCCCTCTGCCTGAAATCATCAACTGCCTCTTGTCTGATGGAGTCCTTCTCTGTTTTCCAAAATTGGCTTGGGTGTCACTCATCCAGGAGTCCTGGCCTACCCCTGAAATAACCATGTGACAGCACCCCCTGCCCCCTGCCGGTGCTCCTGTCACCCCCTGAACGTCCCTGTGCTGGTGTTTCTTATCCTGTCTTGCCCTGGCCCACATGTCACCTGTCTCCCAGGTGTCATTGCCCTTGGGGAGCGTGGTTCAGAGTCCTTCACCTGCCCGCCCTCAGCACCTGGCACAGGAGGGCAACTGGTAAATAGCTCAGAATCCTATTAGCTGTTTTCCCTTTCCTGTCTCATGGCTTAAACAGTGGCAAGTACTTTTGGAAGCGGATATCCACATGAAAATAAGATACGTAGGAGAAATACACTTAGCTAGTAAATGTCATAGAGCAAAGAAATGCATCGAAAGTAAGAAAAATAAAAACCCAAACAAGGTCTCTCCTACTGAGTTGGCAACGACTGAGGGAATGATAACGTCCGTGCCGCCAGGGATGCGGTGAGGGGCTCCGTCATATGCCCCCGCTTGGCGGGAGCCGGTACAGCCTCTCCAGAGAGAAGCTTGGTCATTGCTGTCAGGGTCCTTTCAAGATATGTCACGGAGGGCCCTAAGGAAATAATTACATGCGGGAAGAGGCTTAGGTACAAAGATGTCCTCCGGTAACATATCAGACAAATAAAACCGCCTGTCCCACGTCCCGACGTGGAGGTTGCAATCAGAACGTGGTGCCGGTGCCCAGGCACGGTCCCGCGGGGACGGCAGGTCCTCGGTGCGCGTCTGCTGGTGGCCGGAAGCAGGGAGGGTTGGCTGACCCCCGCGGGGCAGGCGTCCTGGGTTCGCTCGCACGAGGGCCACGTCGTTGGCTGAGAGAGAGGTCAGCGGGGGCGCGGAGTCCCTCCCACATGGGCCGGGGCCCTTCTCTAAAGGTGTTGTCTTGTCCACACAGGGTATGTTCCCGTAGAGCCTGGTGCCGCCTCCTCCTGGCCGAGAGATGCGTGTTCCCACGCGCGGGAGAGCCGTGGCCTGCCTCCTGTGGCTGCTGTTGCTGTGGAGCGGGGACGGCGGCTGTCGGGCCCAGAGGGCAGGTGGGGACGCCATAGAATGTGCCAGACCGGGCACCGAGCAGCTGCTGTGTGTGCCCATGCGTGGGGGTGGGGGTGCGAGAGAGTGAATGAGTGTGCAAGAGCCTGAGGCGGTGTGTTTGTGTGAAGGTTGTGAATGTGAGTACATGTGCACGCGTGAGAATGAGTGTGGATGAGTGTGCAAGGGTCTGGCCGAATGTGGTTGTGCGGGTGTGAGTTTGTGTCTAAACGAGCGTGTGCAAATGAGTGTGCATGTGCAAGAGTCTGAGGTACGTTTGTGTGTACGAAAGTGTGTGAAATAACCTGAGCGTGTGTTTGTGTGAGCCTGAGTGAGTGTGCGAGTATGTGTGTGAGGGTGGGTTGAGTGTGCAAACGTGTGGGTGTGAGTCTAGGTGCATGTGAGTGTGTGAACATGTGGGTGAGTGAGTGTGGGGGAGGGTGTGAGAAGAATGAGCTCTGAACACACGTGCTGAGTGGGCCGTGGGGTGTGCAGAGAACCCGCAGGGCCTTGGGGACGGAGGGCAGGGGTAGGATGGTGTCGCGTTGTCCTGCTCTGCGAGGGATTTGGGGACACACTCTGGGGGACATGGACACGCTGGGGTCCAGCCAGAAGAGGTGGCCAGGACCGCAAGGGCAACGAGACTTTGGAGGAGACGGGGGAGAGGGGAGTGGGAAGTTCACTGCGGAAGAGGCGGCCGGGGGCAGGAGGGGTGAGGCGTAGCGGTGGTTGGTCCACGCGCCTGAGGGCCTCCTGGGGAAGGTGCCATCGGCGTGGAGGCATAAAGGAGGGGTCAGGAACACGAGCCGGTCGGTATCAGGGCGCCGAGCACAGAGCCTGCTGTCTGGGGTCCTCGAGCAGGGAGGTCACCGGGCTCTAAAACACAGCCCCATTTTGCAGATGAGGAACTGAGGCACAGACAGGCCCGAAGCCCCCAGCAGGGGAGGAGCGGGAACACAGGCAGGTGCCCGCCTGAGCCACGCCAGGTTCCTGAGCCTGCAAAGGAAACACACCCAAACAAAAACCCCAGGGCTTGTGTTTCGGTGTTGTTTTCCCCAAGTCTCCTCATGTATTTCTCTGCCCAGCTCAGCTAGCTGGGAAGACAGCAATGACCATGGACGTCCCGGTCTTCATGGGAGGAGTGTGGGGCTCTGCGTCCACTGAGACGGTCCTGAGAGCACGGTGACATACGGGATTATTAAAACAGAAGTGCGGGGCGGGGGGGCAGCAACCATCTCTCCCAAGCCCTCATTTTGTAGAGTCGAACACGTGGGGCCAGAGGGGGGCGGTCACCTGCAGGGCTCACACACACCGCCCTTACCTGTGGCAGAGCTGAGGGCACCGGTCCCGGGGTCAGGGCCCTTCCTGAGACACACACTTAATTCTCACGTGCACATGATGCAGTCCCTTCCCTGACCTG